GAGGCGCCTTGGGCCACCGGCGCGGGCAGAGGGCTTCGGCGCCCAGGTCCCAGCGCGCATAGGGCGGAGGGTGCCGGTGCGAGGCGGCCCGGACCTGGCTGTGGGTCGGGCAGACCCAGGAGCGCTCACAGCAGGCGGACATGTCCCGCCCCGCCGGTGCTGGGGCTGGGCTGGGGCGGCGCCTGCAGAAGTTCACGCACCGGCACCTGCCCAGCTTGGTGGCTGCAGCGCCCAGGTGCAGCCCCTGGTCCGCCTCTGCCCTTTAAATGCCTCGGGCCAGAGCCCAGCAGGTGGCCCTTGGTGAGCCCCCTCCCCCTCTGGTCTTGTGCCCAGTCTCTGTGCCCGCCTACCAGCTTTCTGGGGCCCTGGTTTCCCAGGACCTGGCTGAGCCACTGCAGGGAGGCCGCCCTGTGCCCGCTGCACCAGGGAGCTGAGTCCCTGGAGTAGCCATGGGGCCTGGGCCCTGGACGGCAGGGTGCTGGGCTTGCTGGGTTTTGCACCCCACAGCCCGGGCCCGGAGCAAGGCAGGGGCCGGTCTGGTCTCCCGAGCTTGCATCAGGGCCTGGTCCTCGGCTGCATGCCCCTGCTTCCGTGGGGAGCCTGCCCTGCGGGATCTGGAACTTTCTAGCTGTTTTCCCTTTTTTCAAATCAGAATCTAGTGCGCCCGCGAGCTTTCCTGGGCACTGTCTCCTCTCCCCTGCGTGCTATTTTTAGAACAGCCCCAGCTGTCCCGGTGCCAAGCTCGTTAAAATGGTCTCTGCCTTTGCCTCGGGGGATTTGTCCTGAGCCCCCAAGCGTGCCCAAAACTACAGACAGCACCAAACTCCGTATCTACCGTGTATTTCCCCCGCATGCAGACCATGATAAAGCTAACTTACAAGTTAGGCACCTGAAAAGATTAGCAGCATTAACTAATAATACAAACAAGCGTAGGAACAAGAGTAACGCTTGCACCCGGCCGGGGCTGGGGCCGCCAGCGGCTGTTTCCTCCCGAGGCTTCCGGGGCCTCCGTGCTGTCATCCCAGGCGACCGCTCCAGTTCACACGGCCTCAGGGCGGGGGGCCCCTTTCTTCACACCTCCGCCAACACCTGCTGTCCCTTGCCTCTTCGGTAGCCACGCGGTAGGCACTGCGAGGCGATACTGGAGGTCTGATTCGCTCTCCCTGATGCTCCGTGAGGATGAACACCTTTACCTGTGCCAGGCCTTGCCAGTCACTGTGCAGTCCTGTGTACTTAGTGTCCTCAGTGTCCTCACTCAAACACTGTGACAGCCACTGCCAGGTCCTCCCCTCCCCAGGGAGTAAAGGGAATAAGCCCCGTTGCCCATTTCCGGGTAAGTACACGTTACTAGAGTGGCGCTTTGTCAGGGTGCCTCTTTTCCTTTGCTAGTCTTTCCCCCAAAGTATTTTCTAATACGCATGTCTTGCATTTATTGTAAAGATAAAGAGTAACCCCACCTGGGAGTAAACCTGGGAGTAAAGTGGGGAAGGCCAAGAATCTCCTCTGGGGCCGGCGGCTCTCCTGAGTCCAGTCCCTAATGATGTGGCTGCAGCGCCATCTAGTGGACAGTCGGAGTCTGTGTCCTGCAGCGGAAGCCAATGAGGAAAACCCTTACTCACCTGGAGCACAGGTAGCTAGAGGCGCCTGGTGGTGAGTGGTCCCACAGCCAGAGGGGAGAATTGCGCAGAGTTCAGCATCATCAGGAAAGATGTTTTTGAATGAAACGTCAAAGGCTACCGCCCTGCTCCCTAATGGAAAGGTGCTCAGAGGAAGTGGCCAGTCGGCCACAGAGGGTCTGCGTCCTGTCCATATGAGCTCATATGTTTGCCTGAGGACTGCCTGGAATCCCCTCCAACAGCGTAGTGACCAGCTGGACCTCATGCTCCGAAGGGCATTTATTTGATAGAAGGGCGGGTTGTAAAACACCTGAGTAGCGTTGGGAATTTTTAACAAAAAGACGGCGCCTTGGGAAGGACTGTAGTTTCCCGTGTGGAGCGAGGCCGCCCTTGGTGGGGTAGCGGAGGCGCCTGGCCGGGGCCCCGTCTGGGCGGCTGCTTTCCACATTGTGGGGGGGCCGGGGGGCAAACAGTGCTCGGATGGGAACAAGGCCTCTCCCTCCCCACCGTCAGCCCCTTCACCGCAGCCGCCGGGACAGAGGCTGCCCTTCGCGGCTGCACTGCCGGCGGCGGCCGCTCCCACCAGGCGGGC